GAAAATAAAGGGCGCTAAGCATGGCATGCGTAACCATGCTTGGAGTGAGGCACAACGCTTTCTTACTATGCTAAAGAAGGTATCTGTATCTATCTCAGCAAACATATTAAAAGCATTACAGCAGCGCGGCATCCTGAATAGCACCTTAAGATATTTTATTAATTAGAGACACTACACTAGCGCGGAATCCAAATTTTTTTTATAATATCAAGTGACGGTACGAACTAGTCGTAGCCTGATAGTAAGCCACACGCCTGTCCATGACAGTTGCAGTGCCACTCAGAGCCTTAAATCGTAAAGATCTGAGGGGTACTGCCATTGCGCCCGTCACCCTGAGACATAAGTTGACAAGTCCCATGTGCCTGTAGTTTCACCAGTACCCTCACCCTTCAAAACCGGAGCACGGTAATGTTGAAATAGGTAAGGCGACAGTGCTTCCCTGGACGAACTCTTTCGTAAGGAGCTCTACTGCTGCTAAATAGTGCGAAATAGTACCCTAAAATATTATTATAACATTTCATTACACTTATGTAGTTGACTGTACGTCCAGATATTTGTCGAAATGTTTATAATAGAACCCGACATATAATATTAAGTGAAGTTTATGAATAGATTTACAAGATTTATATTTTCAGCTGCTGTCAGCATCTGCAGATGGTTGGTGAATGAATTCAGGGTGGTCTGAAATGTTTATGTAGTAGTAAATATTCACGATTGTTTTAATTTCTGCTTCAATAGCTTCAGTTTATTTCATTTGTTGACAATATTTATTTGACCACCTCGGTGGTCGATTGGCTTTGGCTTACATAGATATTGAAATGTTCTATCGCCTTCTCTGATGTCCTGGGTTTGATCCCCTTCCGGGTCAATGTAGAAAACTAACTTTTCTGTATTGTTTCGGATCTAGGTATTTGTGGTACCGCCGTTGTTTCCCATTTTAGGATCAGAGCAACGTGTGTGATGTAGTCTAATAGTTATTTATCTATTTATAATTATTTTCGATATTCTCTTTATTTAAAGCTGCCTACGACTCCACAATTCGTCTGTCAAGTTCAAGTATGTATGTATGTATTTGGTACCTGTGTAGTGGATAGCTATTATTTAATATATTGTTTAAAATAATCTTAATATTGGTCCCACTTAATACATTTTATCTACACATATACAGATACCAAGCGACGGGACGACAAAGTCGTGCGCCTGGAGGTAATAGACACGCCGTTCGATATCAGTTGCAATACCAGAACTATAAATCTCCAAGGTATGAGGGGCACTGGCACCGCGTCCATTACCCTGAGACATAAGTTGACAAGTTCCATGTGCCTGTAAGTTTACAGGTTTAGTATGGTAAGGATGCTACCCTTTAAAACCGGAGCGCAGTATTCCTCACATCACCTTTTGGCGGCAGAGATAGGTAAGGTTAGGGCAGTATTTATTGGACGAACTTTTTCACAAGGAGCTCTACTACTAAATAACTATAGCTTTATTTTTATAACTTCGTTTTCACATAGTTTAATCCAAATATTAAGAGCCGTAACAAACACAGAGAAATTAGTAAGATCTGCTGAGTCGAGAGCGGTAGCTTTGGCAAGGCAACAGACACTGGTACGAGTCCGGTCAGACCGAAGGAATTCGTACCTTTTCGTATAACAAAGTGACATGTGATCATAAGTCAAAAGTGCTTTTACTTTATGAAAGTTATAAAAATAATACTAATCTTTAAAACCTCTCTCCTGAAAGGTTGTCATTTTGCAAATGTGGTTTTATTACACTAAGACAGCAAATTATTCTCCGTTTGTTCGATCTTTGTATCAATAATAATAACAAAGTAGTGTAGGATTTTTACAAAAAACATACAAATAGCAGTATCAGAATTTATATATATTCTTTGGCAAACAATATGTTATCCGTCGCGGGGTTCTTCTGTTCGTGAACTACCTTGCGAGCACTGGTGTCCCATAGAGTGGATAGCATACTGTGCGCAGTATTTTTCAATTAAATTTTTCTTCATTTTATTTTTAATTTTTTTAAATTTAATAAAAAAAAAATTTTTAAGTGTAAAAGTAAAAATCAGCAATTTTACTTTTACTTTTAGCTTTTAATTGTTTTCAATATATTTTTTTTAACTTATAGTAAAACATCATGATATTCAACAAATAAAATATATAGCTTTACGTTGTGTAGCACAAATTTAGATGCCGCGTTTCTCCCAGTTGGAAATGTAATAATTCGTACACGCGAATCTAATAATAATATGTATGTATTGGAATAATTATTATGTATAATTATACGATTACATTTGAATCATTGATATAATCACTATGGAATTACATAACTAGGAGCATACTTTATGTAGCTAAATATAATATGAATCCGTACGTGACAACCAAGGGAATAGGAAGAGAAAAAGAGGAAAACACTATTAAGCAATTGATATAAAATGAAGCCAATGGGTATTTTAATAAATAGCTTTAAGTATCTGTCATGGTGTCACCTGAAGGGAATCATATAAGCGGAATGTAATAAAATCCTCGTCTGAGATCCTGTTTTCCATACGCCTGCCGTGATTTTTCAAAAAATTGTTTTGAAAAGAATATGTCGTCTTCAGGGAATTTATTTATTTATTTATTTAAACTTTATTGTACAATACACTAAAGTACAAATGGCGGACTTAATGCCATAAGGCATTCTCTACCAGTCAACCTTTTTTTATATTTTTTATTTTTATTATTTTATATATTTGAATTTAACATTTGGAAAGAATTAACTTCGTATATAAAAATATGTACCTCATAGGCAAAAATCAATTCAATACGATAAAACTAAAACTAAATATGATAAAACTTCCCAATAGTACAAAGTTTATTTTTCATTGAATACCTAAGCTCCTCTTTTATTTTTTAAATATTGTTCACATACCACATGAGCCGATTTTTCATAAAATTGTGCAGAAAGAAAATGTCGTCAGTAGGGAATTTAATACTTGGAACGAACTTACCTGGTGTATGAAAATATGCACCTTACGGCAAAAATAGCAGGCTCAGGTCTTTCAATACAATATAAATATAATGAAACTTCTCAACGTCATAAGGTTTCGTTTTGAATGAATATCTAAGTTCCTCTTTCCTAAACTAAATTACACAAAGACATATGAGGATTATTTCAGGTATAAAAGGCTCGTGTTCTGTTACATAACATTTTATAAACATGTTGATACAGAAGCTCTACCCAAAATTGAATAGCTGAACGCTGGCTATCAATTGGTGAGTATGATTAAACCTAACTTATATAGTTATTCATGAGCTTTCCCACAACAGGGGTTATTAAAACGGGCAAACCTCTCCGGTTTCCTCCCTTTCCCTATACAAGTATATTTCGATTTGCCTCCTTTTGTAATAAAACTTATGTAGTATTGCGTTACTATGTCTCATAAAAAGAATTGTCGTCATGTTGACAAATCTACTGACGGATTTATTTTCAGTTTATTGGAGGAATAAATTATTTGAACGTGGAAGAGAAAACAGGGTGTAATAGATGTAAATATTTATTTGGGAACCTCCGCTCTTCAATAGCACCTGCTATTATATATATACGTGAACCTACATGTATTGTGCATAGTTAAACACAAGTGTTTTTATACGTATCCTCCCGTACGTACCCTTATGGAAGAATAGCATAAGTGGAGTTACGTCAAAAATGTTTATTGCTCTATCAGACACAGAAAAATATAACCCACATCCTCTCCAATTATTGTAATTCTATCTACAATATTAGTACATAGAGGTACAAGAATTGGAGAGGTTGACGGGAGGATCATGTCATGTGTCGGTTGGTAAGCGACACGTCTACTCACAACAGTTGTAGTGCCACTAAGAACTTAAAATCGCAAAGATACTACTGGCGGTACTGCGCCCGTTACCCTGTAGTTTCACCAGGACATAAATAGAAACAGGTAAGGTGAGCCTTCGAAACCGTAAAACAGTAACGCTGAGAGCTTGGCGGTAGCTGTACTCCCCTGGACAAATTCTTTCAAAGTGAGCTCTACTGCTCAATAGACATACTATATTATAATATAATAAAAAATATATACTGTAATATAAAACATATATAAAAATATATAATTTTAGGAAACTATATACTAAATGGTCCTCTAAAATCTGATTTGACAATTTTAAAATATTAAAGTATTGGGTTTTCGCGATTGTTACACATTAAAAATGAGACTGGTTTTGAAATATTAAGTGTATTTCGTATATTTGATTATCAAATAAATCAAAGTTTCCGGCACTTTACGGATCCCATGGGCAAAAATGACTGTCAAGATTTTAATAATAAATATGTCCTTTTTGAAAAAAGCGGCTCTACCAATGATATCTATGTAGTAGGAATTATTTGGACTCTACATTTATGACATAATTTTTTTCTTGAATTTGTAATACTCTTTTTACTACACTTTGTTACTTTTTGTTACTTACATATGAAAATGATTTCAATTTCAATTTTAATAATAGCATATTTAATTAAATTTCTTATATCTGATTTTGTACTAAACTGAAAGGATTACGTAAACAACTTCTACAATTCAGAAAGCAAATTCAAGTTGTTTGGTGACTTGAATCTTTGGAACAGCCCAAAGTTATTACATAAATAAATCTAATTACCATTCGTTTCAAAATATGCAAACATTCGAAAATAACGAAGTGCTCGGTAATAATTTTCTCCTTCAAGCGAACCATAAAATTTTTACCAAGTTAAATAATTGAATTAAAACAAACAATTATTTTTATTGACATATTTCTAACGTTAAAAAAATACTTGTGATACACTTTATTGTTAAAAAAACAAGTCACTTTCAACAGAAATTAAAATTGACGACACATTGTTGACTTGAGCTTGTTTAACTTAATCCGACACTTGCGAGTAATAATGGACTAAATAAAATGCAACAATAACATTTACAAATAATATGTTTTCGAGAAATCTTTTCGTTCCATACTTACCGATGGCAGGAATAAAATCTTAGGCGAAGAGTTCATATTCACTGATCACTAAAAGTTTGTAATCTTTAAGTTGAAAGAAAACTCAGTATTGTTGAACGAGAGTAGTGTTCAGAGTACGTAGGATAAGCGACCCATCCGCGAGCGATTACGATCACAACTGAACAGAATCGTTGGCAAATTTGAACGGGCACTAGCGTCGCACTTTTTCCAGGTGGTTCAAGTGACTACCAATAAATGGGTTGGTCGTCATTGAGGTTGGAAGTTAAATTATGTTATAATGATTCCAGAATATAGTCAAAGCAATTTAGATTGTTTGAGCGAAAACATTGTTAAAACTTTTAAGCAATGTTTAAATAATATTTAAGGCTATCAGCCTCATGAAAATAGCATCCAAATATAAAATAACAATGTATTTTAGTATTGTAGAAAAAAAAAATTAATTTTGGTACCACTTTTGCGCTGATAGCCTCATTTTAAATTTGTACATCAAAATGAAAACGTCCATTGGTGTTTGTAATTCCACGGCCTACGTATTAGATGATCATGGGTTCGATTCTCGGAAAAGCCAATTTCGGTAACTTTTGTAATTAATTTCGCTGCTATTGTGCTGGTAGCACAGGGAATTTCCTGATTTGAGTCTAAGTTATGTGGGTGGTTGTTTGACTTTCATTATATATTATTATGTATTATTACGTACGTATCTTTCGGGCTATAGAAGGCCCATAACAAAGCGACCCTTTTGAGAAATTTATGTGGGATATGAATTCTACGATTAGAGGCTACCTTGAGTATTTTATTTTAATTTGTGAGGCTTACAATTCAAATGTCGCTATTGTAAGGAAAAATGAAAACTAAATGGAGTTGTGGGTGGAAGTTAAGGTGAGCTGTGGTACAAGACAGCGGACGCCCGTATTTTCATCATGGGTTCGATTCTCGGTAAAGCGAATTTCGGAAACTAACTTTTGTAATTAATTTCGCTGCTATTGTATTGGTAGCACAGGGAATTTCTCGATTTGAGTCTAAGTTATTTGGGTGATTGTTTGACTTTCCTTATATATTATTATCTATTATTATGTACGTATCTTTCAGGCTATAGAACGCCTATAACAAAGCGACCCTATTGAAAAGTTTACGTGCGATATGAATCCTACGATTCGAGGTTACCTTGAGTATTTTCTTTAAATTTGTGAGGCTTACAGTTCAAATATAGCTATTATAAGAAAAAATTAAAACTAAATGGAGTTATGGGTGGAAGTTAAGCTGGGCTGTGGTACAAGACAGCGGACACGCCCGCATTTTTGGCAGTCGGCACATGGCAACAAAATGGCGTGTTCCTTGAGGAAACATCGTTATGGTCGCCTAGGGATATTGATAGATGTGCTGCTCTTTCTCGGTACACGATATACGCGTCGAGTTAATAATTCCACCTTTTCGTGCTTTCAATCTTCTCTGGAATGATGGGAAGAGTTCTCCCTTTTTTTTGAGAGTGCTTTGTAGTGTCACTACTCACTAAAACCTCGTCATTCATCATTCATCAGCTTGCTTTATGGGGTAATTTATCATTATTATTACATTTCCTGATAAGCTCAAACCTACATAGTTCAGCCCACCGGCACAAAGTTGCCTTTCTGTCGGTTTTCTACAGAATATACTTCGGTGAGTGTGCCCATGAGCTCCATCGTCATTTTGCCCGCCACTGTTATCATCGGTCATCCAAATGTACGGCGGTATATCATACCTACTTGGCCGACTTTTTTATGATACCAGTAGGGCAAGCACGATATATGCGCGACTTGCGCGAGGGCGATATAAGGCGCGAGATACTGTTTTTTCGCATAGATAATAGTAATATACCACGCTTTTATGTTGCTCTCGCGCAAGTCGCATCCTGTCGTGTTAGCCCTGCAGGTGACGATACGAACAAGGCGTGTGTCGGGTGTTAAGCGACACGCCTGTCCATAGCAGTTGCAGTACCACTTAGAGCTTTAAATCGCAAAGATCTGAGAGACACCGCCACTTCGCCTGTCACCCAGAGACATAAGTTGACAAGTTCCATGTGCTTGTAATTTCACCAGCCACCTTATCCTTCAAAACTGTAACGTAGTAACGCACATATTATTGCCCGGTGGCAGTACTTCCATGGGTGGACTCTTTTATAAGGAGCTGTACTGCTATAAAATACAAAAATAAAGACGATATTCTCATCAGGGGTTCTAAGTGCTATTTTCGTCATCTTTTATTATGCGCACAGCCCAGGAATGGAATTCCCTGCCTGTGACTGTGTTTCTAAGCACATACAACCCGAGCATTTTTAAGGTGCGACTGAATAGGCATCTTCTGGGTGAGCTGGTCCCATCATAAACTTTATAATCTTTGTTCCTGGGCTAGGTAGTGGTCAAGTGTAAGTCCCTTTACTTTAGAAAATAAATAAAAATAGGTATTCTCGGGGACAAAATGGTTCTTTGAAAAGTTTGCGTAAGTCATGTGTCCACATTATCATTTAATTGCAGTACTATGTATATTATTATTTAATTATAATATAATATCGGTCGTAGAGTTACTCTATAAAAGCATAGACAACATTGTCGTCTGTGGCTAGTTGCACAGTAAGTACCCATTAGTAATCAATTTGAAAAGCAGGATGGTCATGCTCGTACAATACGAAAGCAACACATGACTTAACATTATGTATACACACGAACACCATGTGCTGTCAATTCACATGAAATAATGGACTAGCAAACCTGGTGCCATTTTTGGTGTGTGTTTAAGGTAAGCGATAACCACGGAGTGCATGATTGTTGTTGTTTTTGTCAATAAAGTTTGACGAACGTTGGCACGTACGGTCAGATCAAAGGCAATACAACACTTTTAAAAAGTGCAAATTTCAATGTTATGTAAATGTGGCTCCGTACTATCGTTAGTGTGTAATATTAATTTTGATCTTTCGAGCTCTTAGGTTTTCACGATTGTTGCACATTGGAATTGAAATTTTTTTTTTTATGTAAGTCATATATATTATGTTTTTTCAAACAAACCGACGTTTCGGGCCCTTTTCAGGTCTCATGACTGACTGAGTAAAGTCATCAACCAGTTACGTCTAATACTACCATGCTATAGTTACAAAAGTTATTGATTTAAATGCCTCATTTTTAAATTTCCTAAGAATATTTCAGTTAACGCGATCTAAAGGGCCCGAAATGTTGGTTTGTTTGAAAAAATAAACGTATGTGATTTAGATAAAAAAAAAATCATTCATTTCAAATTTTTACCGTTTCATACACTTATACAATTTTCTACATTTAATAATTTCCGAAAAAAAAAAATTGGCTGTCCAATTGTCCTAAGAAGGCATGATATATTAAAAGTACTTACTTGTATTATCTACAATGGCTCTTATTTAAGTAGATAATTCAGTACAAATTGCCTCGTCTACGAACCAATAAATGATACGTCTTTTGGCTCTGAATTATGTTATGCGAAATTACAACTGCCCAAAGGTCATTAACATCCGCTGTGACGCTTCGTGCATGAATTGTAAACTACTGTTAATAGCTTGCTAATGGACACAGAAAATGATAAACAAACATTCCGAACTCGCTAGTAAAAAAGATCTAAATCCGGCTATTCCCGGTGACCTCAGGAAAATGATTTACGATAACGAACCTTTTGATACAGCAAACTTGATGGAAAGTTGAAATGGTATTGACCATTTTCTAAGATCTTAATTTTATTTATGAGAACGTGTAGGCAAATACATTGAATATATGCCTACGAAGAAATCGAGAATGTTCTGGGCAGAAGTAAGCTCTAAGGTGTCATAAAATACCTCTTTGTCTTAAGGGAGCTTGCTACGCTCATGTTTCGTCGTAACCTTATTCGATGCTCAGAAAATTTCAACTCTATTAACTTAATTTAACTTTAGTTCCTGTTTCATTAATTAGCAGAAAATATAGCTCAAACCAGTAGAAAGCTACTTGTTTACTTATTCGAAGATGTTCTTAAGTAAAGATAGTACTTAATTGTTTATCACGACAGAATGTTAAATTTTGAAGTATGCATGTATGCAGACGTGCCCCAACATCGTTTATTAAATTAGTTTGTAGTTTGTGAAGGAGTTTGTCCCGAGAAACACTGCCAAGTTACCAATTTCTGCTGACAAGCAGTAATGTGGGCATTAATGCGTTTCTGTAGTTTTGAAAGGTAAGGGTGCTGGTGAAATTACAGGCCGTGGGATTTGTCACTTATGTCTCAGGGTGACGGGCGCAGCGGCAGTGCCCATAACATCATTGTGATTTAAAGCTCTGATCTGCACTGCAACAAGATAGGCGTGTCCCTTCTACTACCAGGTCCACGACATGTTCGTCCCGTCACTTGGTACCATAAAAAAATTATGTTTTCAATTCAAGACAAAATATAACGAGAATTCTAAAACAATAATACGTTACAGTATTTGTTAGTCGTCGTAATTTCCTGATCAGAAGCTAAAAAGTAAACGTTATTATGAGCCATAATCTTTTACAGCATTGTAAATGGGTTACTGTGTACTTTTAACACAAGGTTTTTGTTCCTGACATGTTTTGTAATATTGTTGATAAATACTGGCAAATATCCAAAAGTCAGGAAATTACCTTTGAGCTCGTCTTGCTAGCGTCACACAAATCGGTGATATATTGCTTTATTTTTTGCCTTCTAAGATGCAATATCGCAAAGTTATAGGCTCAGGTAAACTATCGTGTCAACAATAATTATATTTATTACATAGAAACGCCGCTATTGATAGTATAGGTAACCTAATGAGTATTTATTGTTGTCAACGAGAAATGTATATTTTTTCATCTCACTTGCTCATAAACAGCGTCATGACATGCAGGCAAATTCGACCGTAATGGCCTTAAATTATGCCCATAGGCTATTTCATTACATTATCGCACTACGTATTTTTTACGTTAAGATTAACCAAAAAGTTGTTATGCTTGAAAAATCTGAACGTATATTTCACATGAACATGCAAGTATAAAAAAACACTAAACGATTGCATTTTAACTATATTTTTTATAAAATTTATTTTGTGAATTCAAATTCTGCAGTATTTTTAGAATTTGGAAATTATTTATTTTATATCTAA